CAAAGAAACAGGCTCAAAGTGTTTGCTTGTCCTCCAGGTTCATCATGGATGCAGCTGTGATTCTCCTGCATCCCTGAAATCTCTTTCAGACGACACAGTTTTGCTACCATGACTTTCTGCTATTCATTCCTCATTGAGCAGTGTAGGGCAAAGCTACCAAGGTCACTCTCAGAAATATCATCCATTTTTTCATTAGCCCAATGCATAATTAGGAGCTGATCCAAAGTCATCTCAAACCATTTGATGTCTATCCATTTACTACCTTGGACTTCGGTGTGGGACCAGGCACAGGTGCCAGTGTAGCATGAAACACAGCACAATTATTTTCATATGCAAATACACAGGCAAGAGGTAACCATCGTTTTAGGAATATGCATGTTATGCCTATCAAAGCCGAGGGGGTCTTAACAATAAGATACAACTGAATTTGGAATCACAAAGAGGTAGGTCAGAAAATGAGATTACATCTGCTCTTGAAAATTCATCCTTGTTAGCCAAATTCTTCTTTGCTTTCATATTCAGGTGTTCTATGTTTCCTTGTCAGTAAACACTACCACTTGGGAACAGTTTAGTTCTTGGGTGGACACACAATTCCTGGTGTTATCTACACAGCCTCTAGCTGTCTTCTTGACAAATATCTGAATTATATTCCTTTCCTGAAGAAATGTGCTTGTAAGTCAACCAGGGTTTACAAATATTTCACCAAGTCAAATGAAGTCCAAGTGGGTGAAAGGCAGTTTTATTTTCCTGCTATGAATTTTTCAGTCACACCTATTTTTATGTTAGCAAGGGAAACCTCCATGATTTAATAACTAAAAGTCATTTAACAAACATGAACTCAAACATGCACTTGTAAAGAACAATAACAAATGTTTCACTCCAAAAGGTATGTTTTCCTTTTAAATGCTCCTTCCGTTAGAATGGAAACATAAATTTAACTGATTTTTACTTTTTTTTTAAACAAAGTTATTCCCCACCCCCTATCCCAGATGGCTAGATGTTGACTCAGTGCAAGGAACTTGGGAGGTTATAAAAACAAGAACCTAGTTTGACAATACATTATAACTTGGCTAATACCCCTCCATCACCAATAATCAAGGCTCTGCTAACACTTTCATTCCTTTCTTTCTTATTTTTGCTGAGTACATTGCACTCTGCTCAACTGAATCACCAGGATTTCTCTTCTCTTCTCTTCTCTTTTTTCTTTTCTTTTCTCTTTTCTTTCAACCTTTCTTTTAAAGTCTCTTCAGGGAAAAATATTTATTTTTCAAATAAAGAACTTAAAAGAGCTTGTTCCTTGCAGGTGAATTTATAGAAATGCTGATTTTCACACTGTTTTCAGGCATGGTTTTTCTCTTTCCTCCCCGATCTGTTCCCCTAAACAGCAACACTGCAGGGAGAAACAGTGCCCAGCTGTGGCATCTCACTCTGTATGTCTGTCCCTTGCACTACTTGAGCTAAAATGCTAAACTGAGAGTTGATCTTACCAGAGATGCCAAAGTCCTGAGTTTGCCCCATACAAAGCTCCTCAGTTCTAGTGGAAAACCTCCAAACAAAATAATTCTGCTAATTCAGACTTCCTTATAAGTTTCT